TTTTCAAATTCCGATCATTATCATTTTCCGTACGGTTAACTTTATTGTAATCAAGAGTAGCTTTTTTTATTTTACAATTGAATTAGCTTTAAAACCGATTCATAAGTACTATTTTTGTTTTTTACGTAAATTTCTTTTGTATGTAATACACTGTTAAAATAGTTTTGTTGAAATAGTTTTTATTTTTGTTTATTTATTTTTTTTTATTTTAATTTTTTATAAATTTGGCATGGAAATGGTTATGTTTTTGAACGTTGACGATACCTCGATAGCGTAGACGATAGGGGTTAGTACTTCCGTTCATATGTGGATCATAAATGCATTATACATATTTTTCAGAATTCTCCAGAAAGAACAGATAACGATAAAGAGAGATTTTCTTATACAAAGCAAAAGAAATCAAAATGCCAATCCGTGTTGAATTGGGTTTTCACACATATAAGTAATTTTGGTCCATCCTCATATCTTGAACATTTTCAGAAAATAACTAGAATTAATAATACGGATCTTCTAAAATGGTAATTTCATTTTATGTGAAAATAGTCGATTGACATCAGTTTTCTAAATATAAAATTGTAATTATAGATATTTGAGAGATATTTGAAGTTACTTAGCGCACTTGTATTGGGTGTCAAGCATCGTTAATAGTAGCAAAATTTATACCAATACCATTAAGACAATTGAAGTTTCTATCATTTTGACTTTTAACCATTTCGCATAGTGCATTGGCATACTAATAAGAACAACCGAGATATTATATTACAAAACCAATAGTTTAAAAAAAATGGAATAAAATATTATTCGCATGACTTAATACACTAAACGAAGAGACTAAATTTTATAAAATTAAGTATGTACATACAATTAAAAGTGTTACAAAATCGCATTAAATGAAATATTTCTAGACAGATATTTAACGCTCAGAAATGTCCATTAATATATCATTTCATAAGCTATAATATTACATTTTGTGCAACATCGTTACTCTCTAAAACTAAAATCCATAAATCTAATATGCATACGCTCAAGATTCATTAAGTGATACGCGATCACTCGTTATTCTACTCCTCCGATTCCGCCCCATTAAAGGCTACGACTAGGCCAAGCCGTTGACTCACAGAAGACTGATTTCATATAAAAACGAATGAAGTATAACCAAAACGTATCTGGGGGAACCTCTCGGATCCACAATTTGTGACACGCATTCGAAGCTCGTTTTCACTCGGTCCAAGCGCTTCCGTACGTTCCGGAATGCGCTCGCGGGTAAAAAGCGAGAACGCGTCATGGCCGGCGGCGCGCAACTTGGGTCTCTTCCGTCCGATCGGGCCCCGAGTGAAAATTAATGGCTGATCCCCGATATGCCTGCAGCTAAGATCCGGACGCCCGATTTTAAAGCCTTCCGCCGTAGATGTGCACTCGGTGGAGGGAGCACGTGCAACGGCGCGTGCGCACTGGGATTCTGACACGCACGGCGAGTTTGCATAACATTCAACGCTCGCGGTTCTCGTATTTTTAAATTAGCACCAAGAGAACTTAGTCGATGCCGCAATTGGCGATAATGCGATGGGATGATGAAAGTCAATCGGCTTACGCGCACCTCGTAATTCACCTTCGAGACTCTAAATCATAATGACTTCTCGTCGTTTTTACACGAGGGTCATAAAGTATGTAGAGAATTATTGTTATATCGTTCAGGAAACTTAACGCATACGTAAGTAACATGTAGGAGTTGGTATAAAAGAACCAATGCATTATTAAAAAGCAATAATAAGACAAAATAATTAAAAAATGGATTTTTGTTTTGAATCGTACAGTACAATCTATGTTACACGAATGTGCGTTAGATTTGTATAGTAATTATAAACTCTGTATAGATTGTGCAGATTATGCATTTGGTATCTAGTAAACTTATAGAATAAACGCAATACTTTCTTTATTTCAATAACAAAATTAATAATAATGAAATTAAAAATTGACAAATAACCAAAGTTCCTCGAGAATAATAAAAATATTTCTGCATTTCATTCAAGCAATTGTGCTGGAAAAGGAAATGAAAACAATCTAATAGGCAACGCGGAAGACTTCCGCTTATTATCGCATTCGCTTTGAATGTGACAGTCTCTAAAGCATTTAGAAATTATCGGCTCAAGTTGAGTGGTTTCTGTCTATTTTGGTTTTGGAATATATATTATATATATATATATATATTTGTTATATTTTTTAATAGTGCTATAGATATTGCCTATTCCGTTTCTTAAACTAAACATTACAGCGACTGTTTACATCTTCATCTAAAGTTCGGCAGTGGACAAAACCTAATATTATTTTTATTAATTTGATTACTTTTTTTTTTTTAATATAATGTCCAACATATTTTACTACGCCCAATACTTGAATTTGTATTACTTAACATAGTTTTATAAGCTATTTATTTTACTGTACGGAAGAATATTATAAATTACATACATATAAATGACAAGAAGAAAATTAGCAATAAGCCTTTTAATCGTACATGTATGTGTAATGAAGTTTATAAAATACTATGGCAATATAATGTGTTCATCATATGGTATGAGTCTCAGTACACATGGAAATTCATGCACTACATAATAATTAAAATTAAAGAAAATTATTTTGATTCTGTTAATCTTTCATTCAATTATTATTACTATTCACACTACAATAATATTATAAAATATTACAATTGATAAGAAAATAAATTTGTTTCGTTTGATCGGCTGGCCGTGAAAATTAGTGTACGACAAATATTACAAATCGTTCGAGACTTGCAACAAAAAGTGAAAAAAGAAACGTGGCGAAAGGCCGTTACATATCTTAGAGTATTCGAATGGCGAGAGATTTTGATTCAAGGCGTGGCCGTGTTTCACATTCATGAGACCCTGTTAATTTAATCCTTGCCTCTCCTCTCTATATCATTTCAGGATAAAATTTTCCGCCTTTCCCTGTTGATACGCGTGCACTCCAGGCTTATTAGGTAATTGTGAACTATCTAATATATCATATAATGGCCGATGTATCGCTCACCGAAGTGAAATCCTTTCTTTAATACCAACATCAATGATTGTTGAAATATGTTATTATAAATTTTAAATATGAAGGAATTAGATGGGTTGGGATTTTCTCTATAGTACAAAGTATAAAATATATCACATATATTAGCTTACCTTCTAATTTGAGAAATAAGATTCTCAAGAAGAAAAGATAAATGATATTTATTGATGTAAAAAAAAAAATGAAGTCTATAAAAATGACTTTATAAATTTTAAACTACGGCCCTTTCCCATATTTTATTCGAAATATGTTATAGCGTCAAATTAGTAGGAAAAACATTGTTGATGTACACATTACACAACTTTTTATTTGTCTGGCTGTAAAAACAAGCGATGACAATCGTTTAAATAATCGATGAATGAAAGCGAGCATTTCCGTCGACGCTCAATATCCTCCATAAAACGAACAAAATTATGAAGATTGCTATTTTATTTCTCTCTGTAATCCTCCAGGATAATGACCGCGAGCTCACGGGCGTGTGAAAACCAGATAAATTTTCTGTTAGTCGCGACTATCCTTGAACCTCGGCGTAGTTAATGTCGCGCAGTTCTTGCACAACCGGTTCAAGCAACTCGTAACGAGTGGCGGCCTTCGTTATAACGGTCGTTCAAAGCAATTATCGACAGGATCGAAGTGTGTAGAGATATTAAAATTTTCCTTATCCTGAACGCGAAAATTATTCTGGTTCTGACTTTTACACGTTGGAGATTTTAGTAGCGCATGTGGTTGGTGTGCCTGTATGATTAGTTGGTGTTCCGCTTCATTTTACAATGAGCGATTTTGATATTAATCAATACACAACCACTGACTTTTATAATTAATATGTATTCCCACAATAGTTTAGTTTCAGTAGTGCACTTCAAAAAATAGCTATAATGAAGTTTATTTATCATTGTCGTTTAAATAATTGATATTATTGAAAGAGAAAAAAATAATTTTTAGTTTTTTTTGGAATGCAATAATATAATATATTTCAAAGAAAGATAATCTATTTCATATTATTATTCTATTACATATTACTATTAATAATAAACAAGTACAATTGTAATTACAATTACAATTGTAAAAAGATGACATCGGACAATTTACTTTATTCTTCGAATTATATTCAAATTAATGATTTTATTTAAAAGATGCAAATATCAATGTAATGGTAATAATTGATTTGCGTATAAATAAATACATTAATATAATATAGTATAGCATCGACGCCATTATCAGTAAAACAGTTGTAAATGAATTAGATTCTAAAGATTTTATATTAATTTAAATTTCATTATTAAAAATTATTTTAAATTAACTATATTATTTAATGCTGCTTTAAAAATAATGTTATTATTTGAAATCGATAATTTTCGAAAATTATTTTTTTTTATCTTTAGATATTGAAAATGTGTATTTTGAGTTCATTGATCGTATAATTATGCTTTTATAATTATGCCATAGCAATTATGGCTTACAAATGCAATCTTAGAAATTATTGTTTATATAATTATGTATGGTATGGATAGTTGTATATAACCTTTATGTTAGAATTATTTATTATATGGCTTTTAAAAAATTACAGATTTTAAAGAAAAACAGTTACACCGAAATTCACTAATTAAGTAATAAAATTAAATTAACAAAATTATAAGTTTGAATACAAATATTTCTAATTAATATTCTATTTTATGGTCTAGGGTATTTTATGGTCAAGACTATTGTGGTAAAAATTTATTTAAAATTTATATGACAGTAGAAGTAAATGAGAAATTGTTATAAAGATAATGAAATTAAAGGTCATAATTATTTGAATAATAATAAGCAATTTTTCATTTTTATTTTATATTAATATTGTTACAGTCAGTATTTTTGTAAGAACACTTATTTTATGAATAACTTGATACAGCTACTTAATTACAAGTCAAAATACAATGTCAAAATATTTTTGACAAATTGTATCTTATTTTATTTTTTAACCGATCTAATGCACATCCGAACAATCGTCTTAGCTCGTAGGTTTAAAAGCACCTAGACCTAATGATGTAATCATAACTGGTATTCTTCTCCTGCTGCGAGTCGCAGATGTAGAATAAGCAGATATTACCATCCTCTTCAAAGAAGGTAAACTGGTGCTTCTTAGAAAAGCAGGTCGCATCTCTGAATTTGGAGAACTCGCTATATGCGCCGGTACTATCAAACTTGGTTAGCCGAAACTCCTGGCACTTCTCATATTCGTTATTTTCACAGTAGGTAGAAAGTAATAGAAGACCGTCCCGATTCAGATTGTATATCGCGAGATGCTTCGTTTCGTAATCTAAGTTCAGGCTTTTATTGAATTTATAATTCAACTTGTTATCGAACTGTAGACAGAATACTTCCTTCTCCTTGCCTTCGAGGAAGTAACAGGCTCCGAAGGTACCTACAAAAATAATAGAACGACAATGACTTTAAACAAGATGAATTCAGAAGATAATTACTCATCACGGTAAAAATTCTTTAGGTTCTGTGTTGAATTTAGAATTCAAAAAAGAAAGAACCTTACGATTAGCAAGATGTAAATATTTGAATCCTCTTAAATGCTTATCAAAGATACAGTAAATAGATTTGATACTGCTCATTAGCACATTTCAATGAATTTTTAAGAATTTTTATTTAAGTTTTTGAAGTGTTTAATATGAGTGATATGATAAGCGATTGATTTTACGTTAATTAAATAACAAAAATAATATTGCGGAAATTTTGTAATACGTCATTCGATAATTAATACTTTTGTTTAAAACGACCACTCTGTAGCTCCATTAGAAAATATTAGACAATTACGTATTTATTACTAATCTATTTTTATGAATTAATTAATATATCATTTTGCATAAGTAGTCGAATTTACTAACTGGAAAATATTCATAATATAATAAACTAACCATAAGAAGTGGATACTCTTAATAGTTTGAGCATCTTGTCGTAAGACTCATTAATAGTGTTTATAGTATCACCATTCGATGTCAGTGAATATAAGAAGTATTTATTCCCATTTTTCGAAATTGCAAAATAGCCTTGGTCGGACGACGAGCCGATGTACAGTAATTTCGTGTTAGGATTATTGTTGGAAAAGCCGAATGCCATGGGTTTGCCAAATGACTGCTTGGCAAAGTTATAAGTGTGCTTACAAATGTAGGAGCCGCACGTTTCTTGACCATTAAACGAAAAAAAGTCAAAATAGTCCTCATTCCTGGAAAGTTTATTTCAATTGATAAATGTAAAAAAATATCAATACTCTCTACGTAATCTCAATTGTATTACGAGATATATAATTTTGTGAAGATATTATATTTCATCTTAATGTAATTTTGAAACCTTCACATTGTTGATCAACTATTATTGCCTATTGTGTGATATAAACAATTAAGTAACAGCAATATCAAGAAAGCATTATATAATAACTCATTATCCACTCAAAGCTATAAGACTATTTTAACATATAAAATAGTGTAAAGTATCGATGGACTATCTATTTTTTGTATAATAAAGCATACCGGGGATTATAGACGAGAAAACTGCCACCATAATTAAAGTAGTCGTATCCCTTAAGGACCTCGTTTTTGGTGTATTGGCAGTTTGCCATATTTATAATATAAATATCGATTAAGTTAGTGGCTGGATTGTCATAAGTCTTGATGACCTGGAAAATCTCATAATCATTATTAGTGGACTCCAATCGGATGTAATAAGTAGTAGGATCGTAGCCAAAAACTGGGAAAGAGCAGATCTTCCTGCTGTTGCTGTTGAAGGAGAGTCTCTCGATGAAAGCATCGTACTTGTAATCCGGGATACTACTCGCCCTAAAGCTCAGCTTCGATGGATAATTCGACGAGAGGAGGAAGAACTTCTCGAAGTTGTCCTCATTATAGATATGAATTCGCTGCAGATAGTTCGTGTTCTCCAAGGGGGACGACTTGAAGTCGAGCTCCGATGACCTTTTCTCCTCGGCCCAACCCATCTGCAGCAAGATGAAAAGCACCGGCAGCGTTTTTGCGAACGACAACATTTTGTAGAGCTACGATGAAAATTTTAAGTTTATTAACAATAGGATTTTATTACTTTTATAGTTATTGTACAAATAACTACATTTAATTGTATTAACGAGAATATATTCAGTAGTTTTTTAAATTTAATTAAAAAATTTAATATTAATTTAAATATATATATATATATATATATACATTTATTTATATTTATTTTATAATGTAATTAAACTTCGTTTAACAAAAGAAATTTACCAAAAGAAAACCCATTTTTATAAGAATTAGATAATACACTATAATATTAATTTGAATTATTATTTCCGAATTATTTTGCTTATCTTCAAGATTATATATTTCATACTTTCAAAGTTTATAGATTTTTTTGCATTATTTTAGAGTAATATAAAATAGAGTACGAGATTTAGATATAAACTCACTTAAATTATTGTAACGATGGGAATTGAAATAAAGTCTCTGCGTACGTATATAGTCTCTTCGGATGCAGCACCGCATTTACGACGATATACCCAGAGCACCTCCTTTTATGTGAATCCTCTGTATTAGTTTTTAAAAATCTACTATGCAAGACCGGTTTAGTAAAATGAACACGGCAACATCCAGGATGTTCCGATCTTCGTCCTCGAATTATTTTCCACTGACCAACCATACAATTTTCCTTGATTGGATTAAAAACAAGACACTTATGATTTGATCTAGACCATAATTATAATTTATGTACAAAACATAGTAAATTTCAATAAAAATGGACAGTACAAACACACATACACACACACGCGCGCGCGCACGCTATCTTACGCATATACATAATGCACGAAATATTGTATGCATATATACATACATATATATAATAATAATTTTTTAATATATAATATTCGCATAATATTATATACAACATTCATAAATGTATATCTGTAACATAAATTTTGCTTTAAATAGATACTAAATATATTTTACAATATGGCAGTAATATATATGTCCTCTTGAAACTCATTACATTCTTTTTACTATTGTTTTGTCTATTTTATACATTATTTTATGTGCCTACCCATATAATATTTTTTATCTTCTAATACGTGTTACATCTTTACGGAAATTAAAATTAAGTTTAACATTTATTTTTTTTTTGCAAAACATCCAACAATCTTAAAATTTTCAATGGTTCATTTTACCATTTAACTACTCGTATTTCTTTAATTGATTCATTTTATTACCTCCTTTTGTTAGTGTAAAATAGTATAAATAGTACATATTAATACATTATAGATATCTATGGATCAATATCATTATATATATATATATATATATATATATAATATTTATATTATATATTATATATATATATATATATATATATATAATGATATTGATCCATAGATATCTATGTAACATAAAGTAATGCTTGAAAATTAAAAAAAAACTGCATATAAATATATGAATGAAACAGGAATAAAATTTGTTAACTATCAAAATTGTAGAAATGTTTTCATAATATTTAATTACTTTTTCTTTATTGTTATTTATTAAGTTTTATTTGTTAAGCTAGTTTCTCTATTGTTTTAAAGATATTATTTAATCAATGTTATTGTTTCTGCAAAAAATGCTGAAAATGATTTATGTTTATAAAAAACAGATTGAAACCATATACATTTTTTTGAACGGAACGAAAAATTAAAAAAATTAGTTTTAATAGGAAAGAAAAAGCAATTCGTTAAATCAAGGTGCAACAGAAGTTATTATAATCAACTGTACAAATAAGAAACAATGCAATTATTACTTATACTTCAAACATCCGTAACTTTGATGCTTCGGAACAATCAATTTTTCTCTAAATGATTACCTATATAAATATAATAACTGCTACAATTTAAGATACTATAATTAATTAGAATTATTTATTAATAAAAGTATATATTAATAAAGATTATTTGCTAAATCTCAATTAGATAATTTTGCTTTGTATCTAATAATAACTAAATTGAATTTATTTTTGTGTCTCTATATGTTTTCTCCCCGTTTATATATGATTTAATTTTATATATAATTAGAAACTTAAGACTTCATTCACTGCAAGTTACTATGAATTAAAATAATTATTATTAATTTTAAACATATCGCAGACGACTTCGATAACATATTCGGAAACATTGCTTAAAATGAATGGTAGTCTAGCTTAACACATAGCCCGGAGATTAAATCGAAAATATTTTTCGGACTACTAATCACATTAATTATGTGGGCTTCAGTATTAGGGAGGAGGGCTGAATGTCTCCTCATGGAGGTATACTATAGGTTGTTCAGAAACAATAAAAGCACGGATTAGGCTTTCGAACTGATAATTTGTTTTCGGTTGTTTCAGTGTTCAAAAAAAATGTTTTAATTCGTAATATTGATGGTTTTTTTTTAATTTTTTATATTACATGTTTCTTCACTATCAATGCTATCCTATAGATGGGGGGCACTCATGTAATTTATGGATAATGCAGGCTTGAGAGGAATTATGTATTATATCGTAGATTATTTTTATTCAATTAAATTAATTTATTAAAATAACATTACTTGTAATTACATAAAATTTACATAATAGCTAAATTATTTCTTCAATGAACCAATAATAAAACTCATATCGAATTTGATACCATTAATCCTGTTATGCGTAAATTATTCTTATAATGTCTGGTAAAATTTGCTGCATTATTTGTTTCACATTACCGTTCATCATACCTAATTTATTCTTACGTAATAAATTGTAACCAATATGAGAAATTTTAATAGTCCGTGATAATTAAAATTCGTTAAATTTCATGGTTTGTATGTAATACATGCTAGCAATAAATATTAGGATGCATTACAAAATTAAACTCAGTTTTTCATTAACATTAAGATACCATTTCAATTTTCAATTTAATATATCGATAATTTAGATATAATTAAGAAGAGTTGTATGAAAAATACCTATGAATTTAATCTATGAATTTTAAAAATAAATATATTTAATATCACAATTATAAATTATTATACACATTTATGATGAATGAAAGTATTTATTTGCCTATATTATAGTGAGTAATTTGGGTATAATTTAATGATTAATAATTAGGAAATGAAAAATAATACATATCACCAGACAACGACGAAAAGTTCATCTTTGTTTTGATTATTAGTGACAAAATGCAGTTTCAAATCTTGGTCGAATCTTTCCTTAAAGTGTTCTTTTTGTTCAACTTACATCAATGAAGAAATTAAATAATAATAAGTAATGATTATATTATGTAATATATTATTATCAATAGGCAACTTTTGAATTTTTATGTAGAATATGAAAGCCAATAATTTAATATAAGGTTTATTTATATCTGTATATCACCTACTTTGCAATCAATTCGCGGTACGAAATAAATGGCCCTGAAACTTTACTATACTTTTTATTTGCAATTTCGTATTCTCATTATGTTTTTCTGCCCTTTATTGATTATGAACAATGTCAAATAGCAAAGTAACTGTAATTTATTTTGAAAAATAGTAAAAGGATGAAGGATGAAATCGAGGATCACAACGATGAAAAATTAAGTCTGCATAGACTCTTGTATATTATAAATTAGTTGATTGTATAAAATATACGAAGTAATATTTTATAATACAAATTTGGATTATAGATTTCAATTCATTTACGATACAGTGAAATTATGTAATTTTATTATTTCTTCGATTAAAATCGTATTGGATTTGAAAATGAGTGGATATTAAAAATTTAAAGATGACAATCGAGAAAGTGCAACATAATATTTAAATATAGGTAAATACGTATATATTGTGTAAACATGAAATATTTCATCGGCAATTTTTAATTTTTACAATTATACAGCTTTCACTTCGTTAGATATAATAACTCTCTTTCACTTCACTAGCTTAGAAATTATTTGAAAGTTACAAATATCCTTATGACAAGATATCTGATGATGACGTGACGGCGTACGTGCGAATTTGTAATGTAAAATTAAAATCAGCTTAATTTCGTCATTGAATATTTGAATGCATTTCCCAACTGAGTATAATTTGAGACTAACATAGATTATACATATTACATCAATTGTGAATATTTAATAGATATTCTTAATAACTAAGATTTATGTAAAGGATTTATAGGCTAACATTTTTTGTTAATTTATACATTTAGTTATATCTATTATATTATACATAGAATATCGGTGAATATATTAAGCGGAATTATTATTTATATATTATTCTACTTTATATTTTTAAAACAAATATAAGTAAATTTGATAGATTTATATAATTAAAAAATATATTATAACATATAATGTATTATATATTATCATCATATTATTGCATATTTTATTATTGTTATCATTAGATATTTTTTACATATTATTTTCTTTCAATATTTACTCCAATAAATTCACAATAAAACTATATAAAAATATATAGATGTATATTGTATTTTATAATGTAATTTATAATATATTTTAATTTTTTAATAAATAATTTTATAAACATGAGAGTCTTCATTATGCATATTCTATATATTCTATATATATGGAAAGTGAACGATTTTGACAAATTATTTAATCTACGGTAAAAAGACAAAAACAGTTTTCATATTGACAGTATTAGTATATTTATAATTAACAATTATAATTAATAAATAAAATGTAACTATACGACTTTCATACATCAGATTAATCGTTGATGTTTTTTTATAAAACAATTATCAAAAGTTTAATATTTTATAATATTTGTAGTCTTATTAATATTTTCATGTTTATTTTATGAAGAAAAGAAATTTTATAAAGAAATCATATACAAATGTAGAACTGGTGAGTATTATTATCCCTGTATATAATGATTAATAAAAATTCTTTATTAAAAACAAATGAAAATGATAGGAAAATTATTTTATTATACATAGTAAAAATAAAGTTCCCTTTACTTAGAAAATTTTCTGAATCACCACAATACAGTATATATATATATATATATATATATATATATATATTAAGAGAACTTATATATTAAGAGAAAATATCTATGGAAAAATATATATAAAATGTTTGTAGGTACTAATTACTTTTAAAATTTTTAATATAATTTATTTTTAATTTTTTTAATATTCACAATAAATATACTTAATTATGCATTATCTACTGAGACATTCGGCAAAATTATTATTTTATATTTTAGAAATGAAAATGAAAAAGCACTTCAATTTACAATATAAAAGTAGGAATGCT